CAAAAAAAATAATATATATATATATATATATATATATATATATATATAGAGAGAGAGAGAGAGAGAGAGAGGACAGTTCTTTTAACATCCATCCCCATCTGCACAGATGCTTCCTATCACATTACATACTAGATGACGCATATCATCAGTACAATGCCCTTCAGATTGCTTCTTCAGTGAAGGGCTTACTCGGCCCTGGGGTTTCATGTTGGCTTTTGTAGCCATCAAACTGGATTCCAGAATTCAACCATGTGGCATGCACACTGGGTGGCAAATGCAGGGCAGGGCTTACCAGAGAACAGATTTTACTTGTAAGCTTCAAGAACATTTGTATATTGCAATCTATTTTCTCCCCCTTTCATAAAGTTGAAAATACCCCAAACAAGCTTTCAATTGATCACTTTAAATGACATTTAATCCAGCAAAGCCAACATGAGCTTAGTAATAAGTCTGTTGACGTTCAAGACATACTGAATTACTCAGCCACAAACGGAAGCAGCAACAGGAATTTTGTGGCATAAAGTAGTTGTTTCAAGGGTGTCAGTGGCTTTTATAACACTATTGATTGCTCTGTTTCTTTAGTTAAAAATTATGCCCAGATGATAAAAATAACTGTCTGACCACAGCACCATTTTTTTAAAAATCTTTTACTTACTATTGAAGTTTAAGCCATGCGAGTTATTCTCTTCAATACTTTACTGAATAAAAGGCACGTCTTTTTGTATGCGTTGGATACTATTATCAGGGACCAAGTGAAATCTTCTAGCTTTGTACAGATGTGATGTTCTTTGATCAACAATGAAAATGCTTTAATACAATAAATAAAATGCACCAAATTCTAAAAGCAGAAGTTTATCCCTCTATAAAACAACTGAACATACATGTATAAAGTATTTTTTTTAAATCACAAGTCATTCATTAATTTTAAGTGTGAGTCCTCTCAAAGTGAACAGCTGTGATGGTCGGTGTTAACTGACAAATTGTCAGAATCCTGATTGCCTTAATTGAGGTGGGAAGATTTGTCCTCTGTGGGTGGTACCACTCACAGACAGGATCCTGGATTGTAACAATGGAAAAAGGGAGCTGAGGAGCATCATGCCTTCATCACCCTGTTCTGATTGTAAATGGGATGTGATGAGCTTTAAGCTCCTGCAGTCTGGATTTCCCCACCATGATGGACCGTGACTTTGACCTGTGAGCTACAGTAAACCCTTTCTTCCTTCAGTTGCTTTTGTTAGAGCATTTTATTACAGCCTCTTCTATCTATAGGGGACATGGAGCAACTTAATGTCCATTACTTGGATTGTCTCTTCTAAATTAGAAAGTTTGTGATGTGGGTTA